AATTTAATATAATAATGATATGATCAGTAGCAAGTGAACTTACCTCAGCTGTTTCAACTGGATTACCAGTCTCTTGTATATTTCCCGGTTGACAATATAGGTACAATATCTTATTGAAATGATAATGAAAATATAATGTTAACTTTTTTTTTGATTTTACAGTAATCAATTAAAACTAGATAAAAATTGAAGCGTACAACCTAGTGAATAAAATAATGCTAAATTATTATAGTGCTAATTCTATAACACTGTTTAATGCTACTTAGTGTTAAATGCTACAGTGATTTTCCTCAGATCATAAAACAGTTTCTAGTAGTTAGTGTGTAATAGTTTAATAAATACAGACGATTGACAAGATTTAATAACCTCTATTAGTATAATAACTATTTCACGGTCTGAGAAAATAACTTAAGTTCAAAGTTAGTATTGCACGTGCTTTTAGAGTGTTTTTTTAGACACTACCTCTATAGCTTTTCTTTTCTTTTACTATATCTGGTTAGTCACTAATTATACAACTTAAGTGTTTCAAGTACTTTTACCAGGAATGATAAGGTGTCCGTGAAGGATGGATAGATTACTCATATTTGCTTTACTTTCTATATTCTTAGAAATAATAACCAGGACAAACTGGGAACAGACTTACCACACAGAGGATCAGTAACAAAGGTATGATGCTGTAAATAATCCATAACAGGACCGGGACGAACTCCATCTGAGAAATTAAAAAATAAATACAATCAAAATTAAGACGAAAAAAAAATTAAGGAAAGAATCAACTCAAAATTGACTAAATAAAGTATTGAATTGATCTAATATAATTAAATATTTTTTACCGATTTTCGATACTGAAGTTTGAAACTAAAAAAAAATCATTAAAATGCTTTCTATATGTATGGGCATGTAGGTGATGGCTAGAGGAATTTATTATTATTTCACGACAAAAAGCTTGCAACAACAAAGTAACTGCAATTAAGAACTAAATAAAAGATGAAATTGAAAAAAAGAAAAGAAAAATGTAAGGAAAGGAGCAACTCAGCCAATCAGAGCGCAGGATGATAGTCCATGAGTAGGCTAGACTTAGATTTATTTTTATTCATTTATTTATTTTATTAATTTGTAACATATATACTTAATTGTAAATAAACAAATAATAAATAAAATTTACAAAGTTTTCATAAATAGCAAATTTCTTAATCTTATTAACAA